CGGGGCCCGACAGGGCGCCCCCCCCTGCCCCGCCCCGCCGGCCCGTCGATGGAGGCGGCCGGTGTGCCGGATAACTCGTCCGGCGGGAAACAGCCCCTCCGCGTGACGCTTTGCGCCTGTAGCGCGGGAGGAGGGCGGGGAGGGGGGCAGCGGTGCGTGTGGCTTACGGGGCCGCCTTGCCTGTTTCCAGCCGGGCAGTAGTGGCGTTGACACCAGCAGGAAGCGGAGCCGTAGCCAAGACCCGACGCCGTCTCCATGGCGACCGGCGGCGCTCCAGAGCTGCGAGGCTGCCGCCGGGCTCCGTAAGTACCGGCCCCGGCCGCCCTCCAGCGCTCGTTCCCGGCCCGGGGAGGGCGGGAACATCTTTTCACCCCCACTTTCCCCTCAGGGATTCCGTCTCCAGGTGCGGGAAGACGCGGGGGCACCGGATCCATTTTGCCTTCCCTCGCTGCAGGCCTCCCCCTGCCCCGCGCCGCCCCGGAGGCAGAGCTTAGCTCCGACACGGGGGAACGGCCGGCACCCCGGGGGTCGGCTCGGCCTACGGTCGGCACACGGCCTCGGGTTCTCTCTGCCCAGCTGCTCCGGGCAGCGGGGGTCTGGGGAGAAATCCGCGGGCGTAGCGGTGACTGTCCTGCCCCTTCTCACCTCCCTTACAAGTCGCTCCGACCCTGTGAGTGGAGTAAGACGATGGTTTCTTTCTAGAAAGTACTTGTCCTAACGGGGAAGGAAGGTCATCCTCTTAGTGAAAAAAAATTAAGCTCAGGAAGCAGACTTTTAATGATGTAAAGACGTTTCCTCTTAAAAATCAAAACAAAACAAACAAAAAAAAAGCAACAACAAAAAAACTTAGGTTGGTGCTGTAGACTTCAGTTTTTCTAATCTCAGTCAATCCTAGTTAGCAAAATCCCTAAATATTAGTCTAGACAAACACAGTTCACACTACACCTTTAAATGTGTAGCATACTTCTTTTGACAATATTTTCATGCAACATGTTAGAATTAAAGCAACTTTTTCTCATTTTTCATACCCTTCGAACAGTTTAAGTAGAGCAGCAGCCGGGCTGTGCAGACACCGGTGGGAAGAACAGGGAGTGTTGTTCCTGGCATATTGTCCCCGTTAACCACCAGTGCAGGAAGGCTGTGGGAGTATCAGGGCTGAACAATAAACATAGAGAATTTATTTAAATTTTAACGTGGATGGTAGAGAAGCAAGAGACTTTCGGGTTGGTGAGAAAAACATCTACAAAACTACTCAAGACCTGTGTGTCAGTCTGATTTTTGCCTGTCATGGTCATCAATGCCTCTACAAAACAGTCAGTAGGTTAGCGTTTTGCTCTTTTCTGCACTTTTGTCGGTGAGGTCAAATTTGTAACATGAGTGTCTATAGTTGTCAAAGGGGAGGGAGACTTGTCTTTGCACTTGGGCGGTACGTGGGTGAGCCCTGGAACAATCCAGCTCCCTCTGTCAATGTGGTGTTAACTTCTGCAGCGCCCGTGTAAGTAATTATATATTTCACTGAAATCATTGAATTACAGATGAGATGTATCAAGTGTGAGCTAATTTACACAGTCCCTTTTGAAATTAGAATTTACCTCTCAGGCAAAGGTTTCAGTATGATTATATGAGTTACCTTCTTAGTTTTGGCTCGTAATCAGCCCACATATAACTTGGATTGGCCCACACTACTTAATGCATTCCTCTCAGCCATTGATTGGGGCTGATACGTGAACAAGTACTGTTGTTGTGAAGGGGGGGGAAATTAAAAGGAAAATTGTAAAAGATGCGGTGATGTCTTAGAGATTGGTTACTACACCTGGGCTTTTACCGCAAATGGTTAATAACCTTTTACAGACTGGATACATTTACAATATCCATTTTTATCCTTTATGCCCAAAATTCTTAAATGTTGCGTATAGAGTTTTTCCATTGTAACCCATTATAGGATTGGTGCCTGAAGCCAGCTCATAATGTAGTTTAAACTCAGAGTTATTTGAGAAATTGTGAGCATTTGTATCCAATAGTATAATTATCTGTAGTTAGTTGTTCAATACAAAATTAACTATAAATGTTAAGGAATTATCTCTGAAGTCAGTGGAACAATTTTGGAGGTGAAACACTCATTCTTTTCTGTGCATGTTCAGCAGTTGTGTCAAAGTAAAAGAAAATGGGCTGTTTAATATAATGGTTTGGTGTTCGTGGGCTGCAAAATGCATCAACTATGACATGAAATCACTGCAAGATTATCTGGCCTTGTCTGGTATTATAATCTTTGTGTCTCAGTTTCTCTTTTAATTTTAATCTATCCAGTTTCAGAAATCACAATGTTATGTTTGGGTTAGTCTTAGCTAATCATACTCTCTCTGGTTATAATGATTTTTGAAGCTGTTGATCAATCTCAAAACAATTTGATAATCTTTCATTGCTAGAGGTATCAAAATTAAGTTAGTTCAAGATTTGTTAAAATCAAATGGGTATGTAGGGAAGAGAGAGCAGGTCAAAACAGACTGAACTCTCTTGCTTTTGGCAGGTACTGGCTGGTAAGTAAGCACATAGTTCAAACTAGCCGTAGGATTTGCCGCTTTTTCCCCTTCTGACAGCAAAACAAAAGTAGGTAAGTGTGAGAAACTTACCATGAAAGTCTAGGATGTGTGGAGACAGACGATGAAGTCATGGAGAAGATCTGGGAATGTTGTCCCAGAATGAGAGGTATAGGACCCATGTCTGTAGGAAACCAGGCTTCATTAGTTGCTTAAGTATCTTAATCATTATGTAAGAATGTATAGGTACTATTAATTTCTCTGGAGCTGGAGACCTAAATATGTTAAAAAGTTTTCCAGTCTTGTTTAATGTAAGATAATTTATATGTAGGTTGGGTGTTTTAGACATTTTTGTGAGAAGATTTAACATTTGAGTAGATGTTTTATTTTAAACTGTCACATAATATTGTGCTGTGTTGTCATAGAAGTATAAGAAAAGAATTATTTAAGGAATTAACCGGACTACTGTGTACATATTAATGCAATAAAAATGAGTACAAATGATGGAGTGGCCCCTTGTTAATTTATTCTTTTAAGAAGTTGCTGAAGCATCCAGACTTTTTAGATTTTAACTACGTTTTTTACTTCTGTAGACAATTGGTATTTTTCAAAGTGTTGTTCAGAGTAGTAAAGCTTTTTTGGCTTTTTTTGTTTGTATTGGTTTTATATTGCTATCTATGTGTACAAAAGAGCGATGCACAGGTTATATAAAAATCAGAAGGCAAGTCTTTCTAAGATTACTTACCATCTAGAATATTCAAAATATTTGAGAAATTACAATTTTTGCAAAAAATGCCTTTATAAAGTTGGAAAGGCAAAGTTACTTAGTATAATTCCTAACTGGACAAATATGTTCCTATCTGGATGGCACTTACGTTTGTTAAACTTCAGCATACACTATTGTGCTCTTCTTGATACAAAGCACTACACCTGAATTAGTCTGTTAGCTCACTTGTGTATTTAGTTAATCAATGGTTTTCTGAAGGCACAGTCTTCCTGCTTTCTTGTTTGTCTTGTAACTGAGAAGAAATAGGATTAATGGGAATAAAGCCCAAAGAAAGCACTAGATCACCTAATCTGAATTTTTATGAATTACAGGACTGTTCTGAGTCCAGTATGTTCTGTCT